AACACTACACATACTGGTCTGTGCACTACACTGCCCTAACACTACACATACTGGTCTGTGCACTACACTGCCCTAACACTACACATACTGGTCTGTGCACTACACTGCCCTAACACTACACATACTGGTCTGTGCACTACACTGCCCTAACACCACACATACTGGTCTGTGCACTACACTGCCCTAACACTACACATACTGGTCTGTGCACTACACTGCCCTAACACTACACATACTGGTCTGTGCACTACACTGCCCTAACACTACACATACTGGTCTGTGCACTACACTGCCCTAACACTACACATACTGGTCTGTGCACTACACTGCCCTAACACTACACATACTGGTCTGTGCACTACACTGCCCTAGCACTACACATACTGGTCTGTGCACTACACTGCCCTAACACTACACATACTGGTCTGTGCACTACACTGCCCTAACACTACACATACTGGTCTGTGCACTACACTGCCCTAACACTACACATACTGGTCTGTGCACTACACTGCCCTAACACTACACATACTGGTCTGTGCACTACACTGCCCTAACACTACACATACTGGTCTGTGCACTACACTGCCCTAACACTACACATACTGGTCTGTGCACTACACTGCCCTAACACTACACATACTGGTCTGTGCACTACACTGCCCTAACACTACACATACTGGTCTGTGCACTACACTGCCCTAACACTACACATACTGGTCTGTGCACTACACTGCCCTAACACTACACATACTGGTCTGTGCACTCGAACGCGGCGATACTCTATTCATGAGGTTGGATTTCTCTGCGGGTCAGCACTGTACATGACAACAGAACCCACTGCAGGGTCAGCTCTGACTACGATCGAGCTGATTGCATGACTCGTACTGATGGATCTGCATGCTTCTCGCTTGCACGTGCGAACATGTATGCATGCACGATGCTGCAATTTCAGTTCGAGCCCGGTGGACTTCTAGACGATGTGTCCTCATGGCTGTTTTTCAACGCTTGGCCTATCGCTGATATCCCTGCGTGGAATGTTCTTCCAGTGGAGTCCAGGTGGGACTTCGGGTGCTCACACTCCATCACCTGGTTGATTATTTCGGAACTGCAATAATACAGGTTCAAATACTTATTTTTTCCTTTTTGTTCGTATGTCTTGTCATCTCTCTTTTCTATACGTCGCACACCAGATGTACTACTATCGCTGTCTTTCTCCTGCTATCTCTCTCTTCTTGCTGTTTTTTGTTTTTGTTGCCACTGCCGCTCATCATACCCATGCTTGGGTGGAGGGCGGCGTGACCCGTTAGGGAAGCTGTCAATACAGTACAGTACAGTGTGTGTGTATGTGTGTGTGTGTGTGTGTGTGTGTGTGTGTGTGTGTGTGTGTGTGTGTGTGTGTGTGTGTGTGTGTGTGTGTGTGTGTGTGTGTGTGTGGGTATGTGTATGTGTGTGTGTGTATGTGTGTGTGTGTGTGCTTGGCGTGCGGGTGGGTGTCAATCGTCATCACTCATGATGGTGCACAGCGGGCCCTTGACCAATTCATACATGTAGCGTATTCTTTCGGCTTGACAGTCAACCTGGACAAGACAAAGGTGATGGCTGCTGGATATGGACTCGCGGAAGCAGGCCGGGTGCCCCTGGACGTGGCGGGTGACGTGGTCGAGTGTGTAGATAGTTTCCGTTATCTTGGCTCTCTCCTCCACATGAATGGCCGATCTACCCCAGATATCAGCTCGCGCATTGCCGGTGCATCACATGCATTTGGAGCCCTGCGCCAGCCGGTTTTCACTGACAGCAACCTCTCACTTGCTACGAAGCGGCTTGTGTACGGGGCATGCGTGCTGTCTCTGCTTCTGTACTGTGCTGAGTGTTGGGTGCCGTTGAAGCCCTACCTTGATGCACTGTGCTCTTTCCATCTGCGCTGCATCCGTTCCGTGATGGGTATCAGCCAGCGGAATGTCTGGGACGAACGACTGACCAGGGTTGATGTTCTGGAGCGGTGGAGTCCGCGTCAGCCCCGTGACATCCCCAGCCTGCTGACATCGCGCCGCATGGAGTGGCTTGGACATGTTGTGCGAATGCATGAGGAGTGTGCCCCGCTTCAACTACTGTTTGGCACCCTACATCCTGTGCGTCCAATGTGCTGCCCGAGGAAAAGGTGGCGCGATGCTGCGCGGAAGGATCTGGCGGCGTTGGGCATCGACGAATGGTATGACTTGGCCCAGGATAGACGGGAATGGCGGGCCGCTTGCAGTGTTCTGCCCCCGCCCGAACCCGTTTGTGAGCCCCTGCGGATACCTTGTGCCGAGTGTGGCTGTCTCTTCTCCAGGAGTGGTTTGCCTCGTCATAAATGCCTCGATGAGTGCCGCAAACCTGTATCAGAACAGAGAGGTAGCCGACAATGTTCTTCCTGCGAGCGCTGGTTCCGCAGTGCCGGAGGTTTGGCGGTCCACAAGTGCCCCAACTCCCAGATGCTCCCCGCGACATCGTCTCGGGCTCCGTGCCGGGCGGCGGTGTCTACCATTGCTGGTCAGGCGACTCCTCCGCCGCAGCGTGTGCGGCTCGCTCTCTCATGCTGCAAGGCCCACTGTGGGGCCTGTGGCCGATGCTGCCGCTCTACTCGTGGATTCCAAATCCATAGCCGCCGGAGATTGCTCTCTCGTCGTGCCGATTGAACATGGTCCCTGATCTCTCGGCAGACTGCCGACTTTCTGCCGTCGCGCGTCGTTTTCCATGTTGTCGGCCCCGCGAGGGGACACGTGACCGTAATGGCAGTGTTTACCAGGACCAGGACCAGGTGTGTGCGTGTGTGTCTCATATGGTGCAGTTCTAAGTTCGGTCGATTTCCAATCAAGAGGTGGCGGGTTCGATTCACGAAGATTATGGTCACACACGTCTTTCTTCTTTTTCTCAGACTCCTCCTGGCTTTTCCTTCATTCTGCTGCATGGTAACAACCAGTGCATGCCGGAGTATGCGGTGTGATGTTTCTGTGGAATAGAAATAAGAAAAAGATCAAAAGGTAGGGATTCATCAGCCAGAAAAAGCCACTTTAAATTGCAGTGTGGTGTAGACCAGGCTGAATAGCGGAGTTCAAATCTTCAGCCTTGCAATCTGACCAGCGCTCTGCGAAAACCGACCTTAGGTGCTATTTTGGCGAAATTGAGTTTGTGCTGGATTCTTGACCCATGACCCTTTCTTCAACTTCTGGTGAAGTTTGAGGTGGATTGCATACATATTCAGTTAGATACAATGACAATTTCTTTGCACTTTTCCTACAGTATTTTGAGGAAAAGTAGCAAAAATCCTGGATTTTATGCTTAATTTTGGAGTCAATGCTGTGAGAATTCAAGCAGCATGATTGCAGCCAAACTTTGCAGAATAAATCTGCATGTCATAATCTTCAAAAGGAAAGGTTTATGATGGCATTGGATCTTCCTGGTGTGGAGATAGACATCATTCTTTCTCTCTTCTGTGGATGGTGTTGCTCATGAATCTGCTGGAAGAGGTATTTGGCTCTGTATGAGGATATGCCAGCCAGAGTGATGGGTAGAGGCAGGTGCAAAGTAGTGAAGAATCTCAGATCAATGCCAGGTTAAAGGATATTGATAGTTTTATCTGGTACTGGTAGTAGAACATCTAGTTATGTCTACATCTGCCGCACACATTGTTTCATAATCGGTGATATAATGGCAGTCTCTTTTCCAAATCTTGCCAAACATACTGTATGCAGCTTTGCCACCAGGCTTTGTGAACGCCTGGTGAACAAGCTTCTTCGTAGTGATACTGGGCAAATACATGTAGGTTGGTACTGGCTTGTTGTGCCCATGTGGATCTGCAGGTTAAGGGAGGCCATGAGCTATAGCATAATGCTCTATAAAATGCTTCAGCTCCACAACATCTTCCACAGGCAGTGCATTCCAGAATTCATTCAATTCCTGTGTTGGGCTGATTTCCCTTGCACTGACAGCAGCCTGCACAGATTTCAGCATCCAGGGCTTGATCCTGGGCTGGAGGCATACACAAAGACTTCCTGACATGCATGTACATGACTTCCACACCAGCCACTGACTAGTAGTTCATAGTAGTATTGTTGAGCCCCATCTTATCACATCTTCCAGCATGCTGGACGCGCTGGGTAGCCTCACCACGTCTCCTGAGCACCTCTAGCTTTCCGCCTACACACAAGCAGCGCTCTGACTTGGTCAGGATGTGCGCTGTGTGCGCTGTAAATGTAAAGCAAGGTTTCAAGTGTCACGCTCTTGAAACAGCACCAGTGCGGAACAACTACAGCCCTTGTCAAACTTGTCGCGCGCCTCCTGGATTGTAGACAGTACTTGAACCGATTTTTCTTGGTCTGCACTCTGTTTATTGCCGGCATTGAGGGGCTGGGCTGGTGGCAAAACTGACGCCTGATCGAAATTCTCCACCGCATGGTGGTCCAGCTCGATCTGCGTAGCGTCCTGCGATTCCACATCCAACTCTCCTTGGCACTGCTGTCATCAGAACTGCGATTGGACCATTCCAAAAAATGACTATTCATCATAAAGGAGTTCGGATGAAACCTCTGGGAGAAGCCCACAGCAATTATTTGAGCTAGCGACTGTCTTCTGCTTCGTTCCGCCATGACTCTCACCTTGTGATCTTCAAAAATCGACAGACCGTGACGTTTTGTTCTTTTTCTCGAAAAAATTACGAAGCACCTAAGGTCGGTTTTCGCAGAGCGCGGGTCAATTATTCTATTGAATGGTGCAGTCCCGGTACAAGTGGCTATAGCATCTGTTGTAGCATCACTATCATGACCTCCAGCGTCAAAAGGTCAACATGTCAAAAGGCAAGTGTTTGTGTATCTGTGTGTATATGTGTGTGTCTGTGTGTCTCCGTGTGTGTGTGCACGCGTGAGAGAGCATGCATGTGTCTGGGTATGTATGTATGGTATGGGGTGTGTGTGGGTGGGTGTGCGTGTGTGATTGCGCCTATTTGTATGATCAACATATAGGTGTTTGAGAAAGGAGGAAGGCAGTTGAACAAGTTTGGTACTATAGGAAGTGGACCAGGACAGTTCAACAACCCAGTGGGTATTGTCTCGTCCAACGACAGATTGCTGCTTGTTGATCAGTCCAATCACCGTATCCAGGTTAGGCTATTGTTCTAGGAGGATGTCCATAATGTGTGTGTATATGTGTGTGTATGTGTGTGTGTGTGTGTTTTTTGTCCCTGTGTTCACTGGGGACGGTTGTGCTTTTTTTGAGCTCCTGCTTACTGCAAGTCCTCGACCTTTGTAAACTTCACAGAGGCCTGAGGCGGCCCTCTTTGGGCCGCCTCTAGGCCAGGGAAAGCGCATGACGGAGGGAAGCATACAGCTGAGAGACGGGACGGCAATTTGGTGCCGTCACTTTTAGTTGTACCCGACGTCGCCGCTCGCGGAGGTTTGACAAGCCCCCGAGCGGATTTCCACAACATCGCGCGATGAAATCTGTCAGAGAGAAGAGAGGGAGAGGGAGACGTTGCCTGCTGTGTTTGGGCTCATGGAACGTGAGATCCTTGGTGGAGCGGGACGGCGACATCGACACTGCTTGTGTTTCTGGACGCGTCGTGGAAGACAAAAAAATTCACCGAGTTATTTCTGAACTGAAAAGGCTGAAAGTGGCGGCAGCAGGCCTGCAGGAAACCCACTGGTTTGGACAAAATATCTACACTGTCAACGGATTTACTGTGATCTGTTCGGGCCGCCCCACTCCTGGCGAAGAGGATAATCGACGTCGAGGTGAGGGAGTTGCTCTTGTTTTGAATCGTGATACAACTTCGGCGTGGAGGGCTGGCGGCTGCGTATGGAACGCGGTGAGTTCTCAGATTGTGAGTGTACGTTTGAAGTACTGTGCAGCTGATGGACCGGATGTTTGGCTCACTCTGGTCAGCGTTTATGCTCCAACGTTTGCTGCGTCGCGGGCATGCAAGGAACTATTTTATGACGATCTACAACGCACTCTGTACGATGTACCCCAGACTGACCATTGTGTAGTGCTTGGCGATTTCAATGCTCGAGTTGGATCTAGTGAGCAGGGTGATGAGTGGTCCACTGTATGTGGTTCGCATGGATTTGGTGCACTGAACTCTTCAGGAGCTGACCTGCTATCATTTGCTGCATTCAATCAGTTGAGTATTTGTAACACCTGGTTCCCCAAGCGAGACCTCTTCAAGCGGACTTGGCAGCACCCAGGCACTTTGAACTGGCACTGTATCGACTACATTCTAGTGCGCCAGGAGGACCGCCGTTGGTGTATGGACACTGCGGTCGCGCGCAGTGCTGAGTGTGGAAGTGACCACCAACTCCTCTGTTTAACTTTTGCACTCCCGTATGGACGATTAGTTCGGGAGCGCGACCAGGCAAATGTGCGGCGCCGCCGTTATGATGTTGCCCAGCTGCGGGTGCGCACCTCGGACCCGGACTCACCTTTGCCTGCAAAAAGGTATTAAGCTACCATTGCAACCGAGCTTGTAGATACATGGCAAGAACAGCACGACATAGATCAGAAATGGTCCAACGTCAAGGCGGCTATCGACAAGTCTGCGGCGTCTGTCTTGGGCATCACCCGGCGTCGCCAACCAGACTGGTTTCGGGAGGCAGAGTCAGCCATCCAGCCATTGCTAGATGAACGAAATTGGTGCTATACCGACTGGCTATGTAGTGGCCAGAGCCGCGGCTGCTCGCACTACACAGCGTTTAAGGTGGCTAGATCCAGGGCGTGTGCTTTCATATCCTCGCCTACGGTAGACTGGATAAAGGCAAAGGCACAGGCGGCCACAGAGTCGAGATTCAATGGAGCGGTCGTATGGAAGTGCATCCACGACCTCCAGTCTTGTACCCGGGGCCTCGCCCCTGTGCACACTTCCGCCGTGCTGGATGAGAACGGTAACATCTGCAGTTCACCAGAGGAGCAGAGCCACCGGTGGGGAAGACACTTTGACGGTGTTCTCAACGTGGCAAGTGCATGGAATCGCAATGCCCTGGACGACATCCCACAGCGACAGGAGGCTGATCATCTTGCTGAGGCGCCGACTCTCCGTGAAGTCAGCGCGCTATCTCCCGCCTACAGAACGGCAAGTCCGCTGGAGCCTCTGGCATCCTCCCTGAGATGCTGAAGAGGGGTGGCCCTGACCTCACCGCCAAGCTTGTGGAGCTGTTTGGCGATGTGTGGCGTGCTGGGGTGGTCCCGCAGGAGTGGGTGGACGCCACGTTGGTCCCCATCCCAAAGAAAAGGGATTTATCTCGCTGTGATAAGTGGCGGGGTATCTCACTGCTGGATGTTGTGGGCAAGGTTCTGGCGAGCGTCATCCAGACTCGTCTCCAGTCCGTGGCTGCGGATTTTTTCCCAGAGTCTCAGTGTGGCTTCAGGCGTGGCCGATCTTGTACAGATATGGTTTTCAGTGTTCGGCAGTTCCTCGAGAAGACCATTAAGCACGACTGCAAAGGCTTCTTTGTATTTATAGACCTCAAGAAAGCCTATGATTCCGTGCCTCGGGATTGATTGCCTGTGGGAAGTCTTATCCCGAGCGGGTATCCCTGCTCCCATGCTTGCCGTGATCCGTTCCTTTCACACTGACATGTCGGCGGTGGTTCGGGTGGAGAACACGACAACTGACCCTATCCGTGTCACGAATGGTCTCCGTCAGGGATGCACCATGGCACCTGTGCTGTTTAACATCTTCATGTGGGCGGTGGTGACTGTGTGGCAGCGACGAGTCCGAGATGTACCCGGTGTTGGTTTTGAGTTCCGGCATTGTGATGGTGACAATAACCCTTTACCGCAAGCCTACCAGGACGGATCCGGTTGCCATTGCCACTGAGTCACAGTTTGCAGACGACTCAGCACTTTTCGCGACGACTCGTGCAAGGGCGGAGACGGCACTTGCAGTGTTTGACACGACCGCAGCTGAGTTTGGGCTTAAAGTTCGTGCTACCAAGACACAGTTCTTGGTTGCAGGTAGGGATGTTTCGCCTGGGGACTGCGCTCGAATCGAGCTAGCTGGCACGGTCATCGAGTGTGTTTCGGAGTTCCGGTATCTGGGATCTCTCATTCATCGCGGTGGCCGGTCGACACAGGACATCACTGCTCGGATTGCGCATGCCTCTCGTGCTTGTGGCGCCTTGCAAGGAACCATCTTCAGCAATCCTGACCTTGATTTGCATGTCAAGAGGTGTGTGTTTAATGCATGTGTGCTGTCGCTCCTCCTCTATGGGTCAGAGTGTTGGACACCATTGCAACACGATCTCCAACGTTTGTCAGTCTTTCATTTGCGGTGCATCCGTTCCATCCTGGGTGTGTCCCGCAGAGATTGCTGGAATAATCACACGACCAACGCCCAACTGTTGGAGATGTGGGGTGACTCTGATACCATCTGCGTGAAGGTCGCACAGCCTCGCCTAGAGTGGCTGGGCCATGTTGCCCGAATGGACAGTAGCCGGAAGCCGAGACAGATCCTGTTTGGCTCACTTCTCACACGTCGCCCAGCACATGCCCCTCGCAAGCGCTGGAAGGATTGCGTTGTCTCCGACCTAAGAGTTTGTGGCCTCACCAAGGAATGGTACCCTATCGCCTGTGAGTCCCGCGCTGACTGGCGGACTATGTACGCCAAGCCTGTGGAGAATGTGCCTCAGCCTGTCCCAGTGGTATGTGCGGATTGCAATCGGTCATTCTCGCGCCCTGGAGATCGTGCTCGCCACAAATGTGTGGTTGAGCGGGCAAACGGTCAGAAAGTGCGATAAGAAGGCACAAAACTTACAGGCTACTGAGACATTCTGACCGTTTATCATCTTGTTACAGTCGTGGATAGTTTCTGCATAACTCGTTCTGATATGCTTCTTCTCTTTTTTTTAATAAAAAAAGAAAAATGAAAAATAGGGTTTCAGTGGCCAGAAAAAGCCACTTCAATCAGCTGTGTGGTGGATACCAGGCTAAATTAGTGGCGGTCAATTCATCAGCCTTGCAAGTTGTTGAATGGTGTAATCCCAGCACAAGTTGATATGTCTAACATAGCTGTTCGCTATCATCGCTTCCGCGATGGGCAGATCTGAGATGTGTGTGTGTGTGTGTGTGTGTTTGTGTACGTTTGTGTGTTTAAAAGTCATCCGTAAATACCGATATTCATTTAGAAACGAAAACTAGTCGTTTCTCTTCAACCCCCCTCCCCCCCCCCCCTCCCTCAGGAACGAACACATACAAACGATGCATAGTATCGTTATTTTTTCTTTTCTCTTCAGGGCGTGCCCACACATACAAACTGTGCATCGATATTTTTCGAGCGAACAGGCGCTCAGCCCCCTCCCCCCTAAACGACTAGTTTTCGTTTCTAAATGAATATCTATATTTTATGGATGGCCCCTAGGCTTATGGGTATAGATTCTTGGTTGGAGAAAAGCAATTCAGCACACGAATCACAGACGCCATACAGTTTAAACTAGGCCTTTTGTAACATTACTTTTCAAGTCAAATACAATGGCGATAAACAAGGTAGCAAGCATGTCCTTATTGCCAGCACTTTGGCGGTCAGAACATTAACAAAATAGCATTTTAAAAGATAGCGGTTGTGACCCCAACTACATGTTGACCGGTCAGAGCATTGGCCAAATAACACTTTAAGAAATAGCGCTAGTAGCACCAAACGACGTAATGAAAATAATTAATTTTAATAGTATCAAAAAACAATAGGGACCACAGTACTACAATGTCAAAATAGTGAGAACTTTTGCACATACTTCTTTTGCACACATAGTTCAAATATGCACATGGCACTCATTGCAAACATGGCACTCCTTTTCACTTCACCACTCCAGCGTGTGTGCTCAACAAATCTCACCTTGCTGTTCTGGAGGCAGTGTACATTGCAAAGCTGAAGCCTGAACTGTGTGTCCGATAGACGCATGTGTGAAAGTTCTCACTGTTTTGACATTGTAGTACTGTGGTCCTCATTGTTGTTTGATACTTGTAAAATTCATTGCTTTTAAAACTATTTAGTTGACACCACTAGATCTGTCTTTTAGAGCGCTATTTGGTCAATACTCTGACCGCCAAATATGAGGTGTAGTGGTGTGTTTAGGTTGGGTGGGGGGGGGGCACGCCCTCCCCCCTTCCCACG